GGTCCAGTTCGCACAGGGGAAGCCCAGAGCAGCCAGAAAAGGGGATATGGGCAAGGTGGTGACTGGTGGTGGGGAGCATGCGTGCCTGAGAAAGCATGTTGGGAAGCAAGGAGCATACAGGATGGAGTGTGATGGGGTTGGATGAGTGCCAGAGGGTCTAAGACTTCTTTATCCCCTTACAAAGGTCTGTGGAGCCGCATTTTCCTGCAAGAGACTGGAAGGGCTTCCTAAGAAGGTACATTTCACAGAGGTAAAGAAATAAGAATACTATTGAGGCCAGGGTCTAAGGAAGCTAGACTTTGTTAGTTACAAAGAGGTGAGCATGGTATCTCACACTTATAATCCTAGCGTAGCAGGATTGTGAGTTCCAGGCCAACCTGAGATACATAGTGAGACTTGGTCTCAAATAATACAAGGGCTGGGGTTACAGCACAGCTAAAGCAGTAAGTGGCTGGTAGCATGGCTCAGGGTCTCCCTAGAACACCCCAGTGAGGGACGGGAGTGCTGGAGCACAGCTGTGCAGAACCCCTCCCAGAGGGGCTGGGGGATGCGACTCAAAGGTAGAGTACCTGCCTGGCACGCACGAGGCTCTGGGTCCCATCGCTAGTGCTACAGAAAGAATGGTGACTAGAATCAAGGCACAAGGAGCCCGCAGACAGACCGCGTGCAAGAGCTTGTCATAGGAGTCAGAGAGGCCTAGGGTGCTGCAGTCACAGGCTTTTCTGATGGCAGGGGACCCTGCTGTGTTAAATTAGCTTCTTGCAGGCCATGTAGGGGTTGAGGGCTAGTTAATCAATGCGCACCGTGTCACCTTTACCCTGAATCCACAAGGCCTCACAGACACTGAGAACTGCCCAGTGCACCCATGAGGGTGTCCTTAACAAATTGCCCCTCTGGGTCCCACTGAAGAACTTGTCTGTTCTCCAGTGCCTAACTCTCCAAGACCATCAGTTGGGTTCTGCTGTTCACTGCACCAAACTGGATTTGTCCAGGTCACTCACAACCTCTGCATATTGCTAAGTCTGAAAGTTAGCATCAGTCATGAGCACCAGTTAGCCAACTCTGCCAGGCACACCTTAGTTGGCTGGACACAATTTCTCTCTGCTAAATTTCGAGTGTTATTTGGGCCCAGGATCCACACACTTTCTTATCAGTGCTGGCTACCTCAGACTTTATCTAGATGCCTGGGACTCTCTGCTGTGCATCTCACTTGTCTGTTCATTCGTCTCTCGGAGACAGGGTCTCACTGACCTCGAACTCATAGCAGACTTCTTGCTTCAGCTTCCTTGATGCTGGCTTGATAGGTAGGTGTGCACCACCATGCCCGTCAAACTGTGTTTGGTATTTAAGGGAACGTCTGAGTTTAAACTTGCCTCTCCTTCCTCCCAGGTTCTGCTTTCCACGGTATCAGCCTCCGCTCCCTGGTCTGAGTGTCCTACCAGCTCTTTGTAGATGCTGAGTTATCTATCTAGTAATGGCTCAAACTAAGCCTTAGTCATTGTTGCTGTCCATTATACCTTAGGTTGGGAACTGAATGCAGGACTTCACATATGCTAGACAATCACTCAGCCACTGACATACCTTTTACCCCTCACTGGGAGACTCTAGGCAGGTGCTCTACCACTGAGCCACACCCCAGCCCCTCACTGGGGGATTCTAGGCAGGGGCTCTACCACTGAGCCACACCCCAGCCCCTCACTGGGGGATTCTAGGCAGGGGCTCTACCACTGAGCCACACCCCAGCCCCTCACCGGGGGATTCTAGAGAAGTGCTTTGCTTCTGAGCCAAACCTGCAGCCCTTCCATTTTGGGCCCCACATGCTCTTAAAATGTTCTAGCAGGGCCAGACTCAGCTCCCTACTTCATGGAACCATGGTGAGCAGGAGCAGACACTAACATGCTTTGCCCTCTCACCAGTGCTGGCCAGTCACTGGGATATTCTATTAAATGCAGTGAACAGAATGAGCGCAGACAGCTCTCTTGTTCCAATACACTGTGCAGCCCCACCCTGTATTCTGTAACTACTTTCTCGGAGCGTTCCAAATGCTGTGACCCTTTAATACAGTTCATGTTGCAGTAACCACCCTAACCATAAAATTATTTTGTTGCACTTCGTAACTGTAATTTTGCTACTGTTATGAATAGTGATATGCAGGAAATCTGATGTATGACTCTGAAGGGATTGAGACCCCACAGGTTGAGACCTGTATTAAGGTCTCTAATTTGATACAGACCCACTCACTTATCCTTAGGGAAGGCAGTATGACCTATTCCTGGAGGCTGGCAATGTGCCTGCAGTGGGTGAGTCTCCCAGCTGCAGCCTGAAACCTTTCTATCTGTTCTTGCCTCCCAAGCTGGCAGTTTATAAAACAGCTCTACAAAACCACATGTCGTGGCACATGCCAAGAGACAGGAATCCAAGCACATGGGAGGTGCAGGCAGGAGGATCAGTAGTTCGAGGCCACCCTTACCTATACAGCAAATTCCATACGAGTCTGGGTTATATAAGGCTACATACTAACCTTAAAACAAACAAGAGGTAATATTCAGTTGGTAAAGTGCTTGCCATTCTCAGAACCCACAATTTAAAAAAGCCAGGCACGGAACTGGAACAATAGCTCAGTGGTTAATAGCACTGGTTGCTCTTGCAGAAGACCTAGGTTCAATTCCCAGGCCCCACATGGTGACTCTCAACCATCTAGAACTCCAGTTCCAATACCCTCTTTTGGCTTCATTGGGCACCTGGCATGCACATGGTGCAAGGCATATATGTGCAGGCAGAATACCCACACATACACATACAATAAGAAAAAATCTAAAAAGGGTGCAGTGGTGAGCTTGTAATGCCACCCAGGTCTGGACAGATGGAGACGGGCAGAGCCTTGGGGCTCCATGGCTACACAGTTTAGCTCCAGGCCAGTAAGAGTAACTTTAAGGGGCTGGAGGGATGGCTCAGAGGTTAAGACTGCCCTTCCAGAGGTCCCGAGTTCAATTCTCAGTAACCACACGGTGGCTCACAACCATCTGTAATGAGATCTGGTGCCCTCATCTGGCCTGCAGGCATCTATGCAGGCAGAGTACTGTATACATAATAAATCTTTCAAAAAAAAGTTTCCGTGGGAGGGGTTGGTGCTTGGAGACAATGGTAGTGAGACAGTGATAATTGTGTCCCTTGAGTGTCTGAGGGTGGCACTTGGTTCTGAACTGGAGGGTGCAGATATACATGTAGGCAAAACAAATACATTAAAAAAAGAAAGATGCTGGGTGGTGGTGGTGGTGCACACCTTTAATCCCAGCACTCGGGAGGCAGAGGCAGGCGGATCTCTGTGAGTTCGAGACCAGCCTGGTCTACAAGAGCTAGTTCCAGGACAGGAACCAAAGCTACAGAGAAACCCTGACTCAAAAAACAAACAAACAAAAAAAAAAAAAAAAAAAAAAGGAAAGAAATCTTAAAAAGACTTTTAATATGGTCGTGGAATATTACTTTAACTATATAAAGGTGTGTTACATTTGTCTATGCTGTGGAATATTACTCTAACTATGTAAAGGTGTGTTACATTTGTCTATGTTGTAGAATATTTAACTATATAAAGGTGTGTTACATTTGTCTATGCTGTGGAATATTACTTTAACTATGTTAAGGTGTGTTACATTTGTTCATGCTGCATTTGTTTAACTATGTAAAGATGTGTGACTAAGCTAATAAAAAGCTGACTGGCCAATAGCTAGGCAGGAGAGGGATAGGTGGGTGGGGCTGGAGGGCAGAGAGAATAAGTAGGAGGAGGAATCTAGGCTCCAGAGAGAATGAGGGAGAAAGAGAGGGAGACCTGGGGCCAGGCAGCCAGAAACGGGGTTGCTTTTTTTTTTTACAATTACCATTTGCTGAGAAGGCTGCCAGTATGGAAATATTCCTTTTGTATCTAAGCCTTTTATGTTAAAACTACAGGCCTAAGGCCTGAATGTTTATGATCTTTGGGGAAGATTTCACTCTTCTAAACAGGACTGGTAAGCAACTTTGACAAAAGATATCCTACCTCCCGACAGAGTTCACCTTGTCCGTTGTAACATCATCAGGTGCCCCACAAGAAACACCCTGTGATGTCATTCAAATCCCTTAGCAACCCTGAAAGATGATCCCTTCAGCACTCACCAGCTTCCCCTATTTGACTATTATAAAAGCTAGACAGAGTGACACTCTTGAAGGAGCCCACCCCACGTTTGCTGCCTTCCCAAGCACCTCTTTTTCTCTTAACATTTGTGTTTAAAATCTGAATTGACAATGTTGGGGCCAGCAAGACGGCTCAGTGGGTAAAGGTGTTTGCCACCAAGCCTGTTGATCAAAGTTTGACCCATGGGTGGAAGGAGAGAGATGACTCCCATTAAGTTGTCCCCTGACTTCCACAGGTGACACCCATGTACCACATACATATATACATATTAAATACAAATAAAAACAATCATTTAATAAACCTCAGTTCTGCTCCTACTATCTTATCCTGAATTCTTTTCTGCAGGGAAGCCAAGGATCTGGTTTTACCTGAGTTGAGGTCCCTAAAGATAACAATTCCTTAGGCTAATAAGGGTGACAACTCTATCTCTGTCCTTGTCACCCTTGACAGTACTCGGAGGTGAGGGCCACACACAGCAGCAGCAGAGGCCAGTGGCCCTCATAACATGCCTGTAGGACAGCTCACAGTGTCCCCTTATAGGGACAGACAAGGAAGGAGGCGGATGCCAGACTAGGTGGTTCAAAGATACAGGGCAGGGAGTGACACAAACAGGCAGAAAGGCCTTCTGGATACTCTCACTGGGTATAGGAACCTGCCAGCACCCAAATCTACTACAACCTAGGCTTCGGCCTGCATTGCCTGAGAACCATGTGACAACAGGCTATGCAGGAAGTGAATGGCGATTCTCGAGGACTCCACTGGACCCATGTCTAAGAGTCTGTTGCCATTCTTCAGGCCGGAGAAATCTTCAATAAAAACAGCCCACACGCACTTGTGTTTGTATAAAAGATATTTACTTCAATTATCACACCTAGGGTGCTAGTGAATAATAATACATGGTGTGAGCTTCGGTGATATTGCTTCTCCGTATCATAATAGGGACCGTTGGACAGTGCAGAGAACAAACATTTCGTATGGCTAACCAAAGACAAGAAGGACGACGCTGAGGGGCCGACGGGTGCCTCCCCCACCCCCACGCCAGCCGGAACCAACTCTTATTAAATGTAGAAAACAAATCGCAAGAAAAATTAAGATGATAGGAGATGGTCACAGCAACACAAGGCTTCTCAAAACTACTTGTACAAAAAAAGAGAGACACACACATCTTTTACAATTTTTTTCTTCCTCTCGCTTCTTTTTGGTCAATTAGGTCTTGGTAAGGATTAAAATTAAAAAAAAAAATCTGTGATTGTATTAACACACAAGCTGTATAAACACCTAAGACTTAGTGCCTGACAGAAAGAAAAAGTAAATACTGCTAAAATGTAACACATGATGGGACTGAGGAAGGGCTGACTTGTGTCTTGTGCTGTGTGTTAGTAGTCTAGAGGAGGGTGGTGCTACCCGCTCTCCTAGCAAGTAGTTATTGCACAAACGCAAAGAGCTAGGTTTCTTGTTCTGTGGGAAGGGACTCAGGGAAAACCACAAAGCTGATTCCTCCCCACTGTCAGCTTGTAACAAGCTAGTCTCGAAATGCCTGAAGGTTTTTTGTCAAATGCATTCTCATGTTTCTAAAATGTCCGGCATTTTTCTGAGGCAGGGGCAGTCTCCGAGGGTGGGGAATGAGACATCTATTTTGTGTGTGTGCCTGTGCACACACACATGCGGGGTGTGTGGGGGGAGAGAACTAGAGAGACGAAGAGAGAGAAATACATAGACTAATCAAGAAAAAAAAACACCCTTGGGGAACTGGGACAATTTTATTGGAGAACTTTTACCCCCAAAGAGATGAGTGGGACTCCTCTCCCCCCAATTTCGGAGAATGGGAAAAATATAGCACAGAAAAAAACGTGGACTGTACCTCAGTGGACTGTTTGGGTTTGTAAAGGCAGGTATCCGGCCCTACCTAGGGTGTGAGCAGGCCCCTTAGCCTCTCCCTGGGGTGAGTCTCCTTTTAAAATTTGCCCCCTCCCGTGAAGGTAACCACATACCCCCACCCTCTGCTGAGCAAGCAATGGGGGTTTCTTGCTGCCTGTATTTCCAGCCACAGAAAATCCTTCCTCCATTTTTCATGACATGAGAGGGTAAAGGGTTCTTTCAACCCATGAACTAGGTGTGTACCCTCCAGCCACATCCAGGGCTAGGAAATACCTGTTGCCTTGAAAGATGCCTTTTGACTAACTTTGAATGCAAGGAAAGACAGCTGACAATGAAAACCAAAGATATGGCAACCCGTGGGGACCACTGAGAAATCACTTTCCAGTTCTGGACGACAGCCTTGGCCAGACCGCCGGCCTCTTCCCTGATCCAGGCTCGCCGAACCTTCATGAACCCAGAAGTCTTAACAGAGGCTCTAGGAGGCTTTGGGGGAACTTGAACTTGGCTTTTCTGTTTTCTCACTGCATTATAGCGCCTCTGGAAGCAATTCTCCCGCCCAGTGCTGCCTGACATGGTAACTTTGTTCATCAACTCTCAGTTGAACAGTTATATAAGTAGAGACCGCCAGTTTTTGAGTGGCTACCAGGGAGACAGGTGTCTGATTGTGCTGGAGGACTCCCTTCTGTCCCTCATACCTCCCACCTCAGTTCCCCAGACCTTTTCAGACTCTGGGGTGGGGAGAAAAGAGGTGGGGAGTAAGGGACAGTAACCACTGGAGTGACAGCAAAAGCATTCGTAACAACAACACAAAATGACAACACACTCCTGATAAGTACTTAAATGATTAACCTAATAATAAATTAGAAGAGAATAGATAGAAATATTTTTTTCTTCTTAAAGAAACATCCTTTTATAATCACCCTCGAGTACGCTGACAGATCAGTAGCAGTCGGTCTATCTCCACAAAGAGAGGGTTAAGTGCTTCAAGGGTCAACTGTGGGGTCAGGCATTTGGGAAGGTTCCCCAGCTGCTGGAACCCAGGCAGCCATGACCCAGGGCTCAGGGCTGAGCCTCAGTGGCCAAGGTAGGCCAGCTTGCCCATCGGTTCATGAACACACAGAACTACAGTGAACATACTCATCCACGACCTGAATCGATCCTGGTTCTAAAGCTTACTTAGGAGTTCATTTGGTGTGCAATAACGCTATCTTTTTCAAAAAGAAAACAAAATAACCCCCCCCAAACAAAAGCAACAACATGACTTCCATTGCACAGAGCTTTGACACAGAGCCATCTATTAAGTGCTTCCTGTTTAAAGCAAACTACAAAAAAATAAAATAAAACAAACAACAAACAAAAGATAATTATGGATTGGGAAAAAAAAAATACCAAACTAAAGCAGCCCCGTGCCACTTGGATGTGTCTTGCTGAATGGTGTCCTATTTTGCCAACGGAAGTCCCAAACACTTCCTGGCGCTGTGCTTCTGATATATTTTCCATAGGGATAGAGGAGTGGTATTGGGATTTAAGGCACCTTTCCTTTCTGATCACAGAAAGCTTAGTACATAGCATATTTGTGGTAAAAATTAAAGCCAGAACACTACAAAATTACAGTAACAGACTCTATTTAACATGAGCAAACTAAACCCATCTACAAAAAGCAACTCAAAGGCATTTGAAATTTGAATAACCGAGGGATGGGGCATGCACATTCATGCATAATCTAATGTCTTTCTCTCATTAGCCCCCTCCCCCTCATTCTTGGCAACAATGCTGAACTTTTCAAGTCAGCATTTCAAAGGAGACCAGGAGCTTTGGAAATGTCTTGTTAAAGCTAAATGTCACTTTGTCCAAAAATGAAAACTCAATATGCCACTGAAGGCGTGGCCATGGGATCTTTGGAGGGGAGGTGGCAGGAATGGGGTAGGGGTGGGCAAGGGGGCGAAGAAGCAGGTCCTCAAGTGGAACACTGGGGAATCCTGGCTTTTCTTTTGCTGTTCCTGAACTCCGTTCTGGCACTGGTTGAGCCTGAGGTCTTGGGTTGAATCCTTTGCTGAGGAGCTTGTCCCTACCCTCACTTTCTGGTTAGTTTCCATCTATAATACACTGGCAGAAGTAATGAGAATGAAATTTTCTCAAATTAGTCCATTCTCTTAGCATGCAATTTTACTGGTCAGTCTGGCATACAGGACCTCTGGGAGCTGGAATCAAGCCAGTTAAAGAGTCTCAGGCCACCTGGGACAAACATTGCCGGAGTGGCCACAAAGCCTTCCCCTGAATCAGTAAAGCCTTAGAGAAATTGCAGAGGCAGCTATGCCAGGTGAATTCGATAGGGACAACAAAACTAAGCTCCCTATGTCCTACTAGGGCACTTTGGCCACTAGAGCAGGTATAACTCAGATCCACCATCTGTCCTGGGAGCTGCTTTTCACCCAGATGGAACAAAAACTAGCACGCTCTTCTGGGAAGTAAAGACCAGGTCTGCATGATAGGGAGAAAGTCCAATGGCCTCTCCTGTCCTGGGGATACTTGTGTTTGTAAAGTAGAGTTCCTGGCAAGGTTGCAGGGCTAGATACAAGAGATGTGTGCTTATGTCCTCTGGGGATAACCTCTGGCCAAAGGAATGGCTGTGATGGAGTTTGACAGCTGTGTGGGAAGGAAGGCAGAGAGAAAGACAAGAATTTCTGAGGCTAGAGACCACCCCTGTCTACAGACCCAACAGCTGCTGGAGTTCCAAGAACAGCTGAAAGCCAAGAGAAAAATCCCTGCGCTTAGCCGACTTCAGATACCACTCCAGGATGTGCTGACGGAAGGAGGCAAAAAGCCCACCTGCCAAGCTGAGATGATCTGTCAAGCTTGCAGCCCCTTGATCCCCCCTCTTCCCAGGCTACTTGCCTCACAGATCTGAGAGATGTCAAGTGGTGAGGTAGAAGACAGATGAGGGAAGACAATGAAGAAGGGACAGGAGTAACATAACCAAAGAGCCTTCAACTCCCTTGCTCTAGCCCATCTTCTCTAACAAGGATGGCTGACAGCCTCAGGGAGCTGACCTGGAATGATTACAGGTACCAGCAGCAGCACAAGCCTGTGATGGGGAGCAAACCATTGCACAGGATGCTCAGGGTCCATTGAGACCTCCTTTGTAAGAAAACACCACTATGGAGAACAAAGCTATCTAGTCTTCTGTGGCAGGGAGGCACCTGTGGTGCAGGTCATCAGCTCTCCAGCTCCCCAGTGCCTAGGCAATGCCTAGAGAGTGCCCCTTGGCATTGGACACAAGCTGCTTCCTGCTGGACTTGCTCATGAGCTCCACAACTGAACTTAGCTCTGGCTACAGAGGCAGATGAGTTATGTGGGTAGCAATAGGCAGAGACTCTAGGACACAAGAGCCCAGAGGAATACTCAGCACATAGCCCTGCTGTATTCTGGGCCATCTACCAGATGTGGCTTTAAACAGGAGAAGAGAGAGACACACTGACTAGAGGAAAGCGTAACTGGGAGACACCTGAGTTTTGCAAAGAGAAGATCTGTCCCAAGGAGGATGACAGCTGTCCTCTTTCGCCTCATTTTCAAAGTGGTGTGGCTGGAGTTCTAATACTACATCCCAGAGAGTCTGCACTGATTCCAACCCAGGATACAGTCATAAGCCACTTGTGATATTTTTCAGGTGGCTAGCTAAGAAATAGTCAACTTCCGCTAAGTGCCTTTTTTTTTTTTTTTTTTTTTTTAAGTAAGAGAGAGGTCTAGTGGACAGAGATCAAACATCTCCACTGACTAAAGTTTCGGGGAGGAGGTGACTGGGAGCCAGGTCAGAGTGGAAGCAAGTGGGCAGGCGTCTAAGAACCTACATGCCTATTACTTCGGATGCCACAAGGGGTCTTGGGCATGAATAAAGAGGCATCAAGGGGCCTGATGTGAACACTGATTTTATGGTGGGCTCCCACTTAGCCAGCTGGATAATGGCATGATAACTAGTTAGGATTGCTGCCTCTAATTAAAGAGAAAGGCATTTAGAATGAGCAGTGGCTTGTGATGAAGTGTTAGTGTTTATATGGAACCATTCTCCCCTGGGGGAGAAGCACACTCAGCTTTGTAAGCTGAGAGAGTGTAAAGAGGGTGGCTGGCTGCCTGTGGGAGCTGCTGCTTGGATCTCCAGTCAGCGGAAAGTCACCGCATGAGGGAGCGCTGTTCAAGGCACTTGAATATTGCTTTTCAAGATGAAAGATGAACCCTTGGACTCAAACTGGGAAGGGAAGGAGGATCTGATGAGGAGGGAGATGTAACCCCCGCAGGTTTCTGTGTTGTTACTAGCAATTCTTAGAAAGACTACAAACAGTGCTAGCTTAACCCCAAACCCCATCAAGTTGGGATCTCAATTAAAATAATAATAATAATAATAAATAAGAGAAAATACAAATACAGAACTCAAGCAAAAACCTAACCAAGTGATTGTATCGAGCACCCAGATGGAGGTCTGGCACAAGAGACAGAATGGAAATCAGTAAGAACCTAGTTAAAGAAACAAAAATGACTAACTTGCTTGGAAGAGCCAAAGGCTGTCTTAGACTGCTACCGTATGGCCCCCAGGATGGAACAGAACTTGACTTCCATTTCCTCAAGATTTAACACTGGTTAAGTAACAGTCACACCTTTAAAGCGAACACACTACCCTCTTCAGTCCTGCTAACTCTGCTTCTCATCCTAGTGAAAATGAGCGGTTTAAGGTCCATCACCCATGATGACAGATTCCCTCAAGGGTTTTGTGGAGGGGGTACAATGATCCCACCAGTGACACTGCTCCATGTCCCTAATGGGTCCCTGGTGTGAATGAGCTCTTCCTCACTCAATATCCCTGCACAGAGCCTGGTCTGACTCAGTTTTCTCCTTCTGTCTCTTCACTGTGAATTCTCTTCTCACTGAACCAGATCTCAAGTGCAGAAGACCATCCAAAGACAGAACAAAGGGGTCTACCTCCCAGCCTCCTAGAGCCTCCTGGAAACTTCTCATTCATGAAAAGGCATTGTTTTTAGTGTCGTGACTCTTATAGTTTGTGAAAACTCCAACTAAGGGCTTGCAGCTGCAGGTTGAAAGACTGTGAATGAAAATATATAAGCTCCAAACATCATGCAAGAAATGTGGTTTCACATCTGACAGTCAAAGCCTACAAGCTAAGAATAACAAGCACACTGAGGTGTAATAGCGGGAGATACTTTTAAAATTAGAACTCCCTCCCACCCTCCCAAATAAAAAAAAAGTACTATTAATTAATTAAACTTAAGAAATAATGAATGCACCATTAAAATGTCATCCAAAGATGTTGACCTAAGACAAAAGTTTCAATGATACACAATACGGTCAAAAAGTTTTCAATCAGTAATATACAGTATGACAGCTACATCTTGTAAATTATACCCAATACTGCCGGCAGTCTATCCCTCTAAAGAATATTTGCCCCTTTCATCCCTTCCTAACAATCAGATAATAAAATACAGCACCTATAAATAAGCAAAAAAAAATATATATATATACCGAAATCATCTATTGTTAGTTTAAAGGTATGGCAATAAGGAGTCTAAATTAGCAAAACCTGTAGAAGCCATGACTGATAAACCAGCTTATTGAAAAAGGTGGCAGTAATGCACTCTATGTGTGCACAGGTACTTAAGAAAATACACAGACGTATAAAATTGCACACACACACACACACGCACACTCTCATCCACCTCTATACTCACGCATATACACATAGACAATGGGAGGAATCAAGAGACAAGTTAGACTTTTGATTTGTACTTAGACTGCCCTAAACTGTGCATTAAAAAACAAAACAAAACAAAACAAAAACTTGTGAGAGGAGAAAAGAATGAAGGGCCAATGGTCTAGTCTGGAATTGAAGTGTCACCATTTTGGTGAGTTTGGGCCGTTTCTATAGGGATGGAAATAGAGCCCAGACTGCTGCATTCTCTCTTCTGCAGGGAAGGAAGCTTCCCACGAGTAGACAGGGTTATCAGTGCTTGTGGTGGGAAGGGGACGGGGAGAAGAGAAAGAAGAGAGAGCGAGCGCATGGATGCGTCAGCCCTGCCCAAGCCCAGGAGCATCTTCTCCTGGGGGCTCAGTCTGTCAGGTGCCCTGGAGAGTGGCGTGAGGTGAGGTGCCTTCTGTGCTAACGAAAGAGGAACAGACAGTTGCCTGTACATGGAGGGACTAACTGCTGTGACCTTGCGGGCCTACATTTTCCTTCCTTCCGACGTTTGCACATGAGCAAATGTGCCAACACAGATGCAGACACCATAAACAAAATGAACCGGTACATGCTACAGTTCTAACTTGTCTCCTAAACCTCCGAGATATGAGGTCTGATCAGCGTGCTCTGCGGTTAGAGGTTAAAAAGCAGATTATAAAATACCTAGATTCGGATCTTTCTTTTTGTCCTGATTTGGCCTAGAATGGAGTGTATTAAACAAACTCTGGCCAGCAAAAGCCCAGAGTCAGTTAAAGCTATGGATCAATGTGCACTACATGTCAGGATTCTATTTACGTACAAGAAAACACTACGTCAGCTACCACAAAATCAGATATTTTTCCTGATGTGACTTTTTTTTTCTTTTTGTTAAAAAATATGTGGAGTAAATGTGTTTTATTTTAATTCAAAGTTTCAAACGAGAAGATTCTTTTCTTGAAAATATTTAGGAATCCAAACTAGTGTGTTTAGAGTCGGTTTGACTGTGCAATCTCTTAGTGGCAACTGAACAGCTACAAAAACTTTCTTTTTTAATTTTTCTGAAAAATCCCCCCCTTCCTGGTTTAAGAAGATAATAGTGTATTATCGCTCTGAAGCCATTAGATGGCAGATAAAAAGCCCCCTTTTAATATGTGGGTTTGATTTTTTTTTTTTTAAAGCCCACACGAAAGAGGAGGGCACAAGGCAAAAGCTGTAAAGAGTTATTCCAGAACCTGTGGAAATCACTTAGGGCAATTAAAAAAAAAAAACACTTCAGGGTACAAAAAAGCTCGACTACACATTTCCGTTTTCTTCCTTGAAAACACAACATAGATTGGGCTTAATGCTCCTTTGTTTTCTATATGCACCTTGGCCTATGGCGATTTTGCCCTGTGGCCCGCAGGGCGGAAGTGCGCAACACGTCCAGGCCTCGGGTCGGCACTGCCCTCCACGCACCCGCCTGCCCCAGCCCACTACTAGCCAGTGCTGACTGGGCCTGGCGGGGACCTGCTAGGCGCAAGTAGGCCTGGCTAGGCCCGGCGAGGCCCTGCTGATCAGGCCAAGAGGCCCGGCGCCCTCAGAACTCCCATTCAATGGGCTCCTCCCGGCTGGCAGCCTTCTCCAGGCGGTGGATGATGCTGTTCAAGTTTGCGGCCTTCTTTTTGCGGACCGGGTTGTCCCGGGCACCTGCTGCCTCAGGCAGGCCGAAGAGGCTCTGCAGTGAGCTAGGCCTTCGTGCAGGCGCGTTGGCGGGTGCACTGGTGCTTGGCAATGCAGAACTCCTCTCTGCAGGGCCCGCCCTACCCGCCCCAGGGGCCTCGGTGGCCTTCGCAGTGGCTGAGGTAGCGGCGTCCTCTCCGGCCGCTGGTGCGGCGAGGTTTGGCACAGGCGCCGGGGTGTCGGTGAGGCCTTCGGGCGGTGGCCTAGGCCTGCCCGCATCTTCACCGTCGTCCTGTCCTGGGGTCGCTGAGGATAGTGGCTGCGCCTTCGCCTTCTCAGCAGGCTGCGTTGCCTCTTCCTGGTCGGCCGGGGCTGCGGCCACCTCTGCCGGCCCTCCCTGAGACTTGGTGGCTACTGTAGTGCCACCTGGCTCCTCTACATCAGCCGCCTCCACACCATCACAGCTGTCACCTTCTGAGCTGGGTGCGATGCGGCCACTTCGGGCCGAAGGTGAGTCGCTGGCACCGGCCTGGCCCTGGCTTCCGGCTTGAATCTCCTCAATGAACAGTTCTCTGCGGATTCGAGACCTGCAAGACACAAGCGAAGGCCCTGTGAGGTTCCTGTGCACAGGCCCGGCTTTACTTCTGTGCACGGCACCTTCTCTCTACCACACACTTAATTTTTTTGAGATAAGATCCCTTATCCCAGACTAGCCTTGGACTTGTTAATTAGTTACAAGCGACCTTGAGTTTCCAGTCCAGCAGCCTGCATTTCCCCAGGGCTGGGGTTCCAAGTGTGCACCACCTTTCATGGTTTACGTGGCTCTGGGGAGAGAAGTCAGGGGTCTGAGCATGTGAAGGAAGCACTCCATCAACTGAGCTACATTCCCAGCCCTATTTTAATTTTTGAAACTGGGTCAGGATAGTCTCGATTTTGGCTCACTTAGTCTGGCCTTGAACAGAGGATCCTCCTGTTCCAGCCTCCAGAGGACTGGAATTCCATGGTGTAGTTACTGGCTGGCCCATTTCTTCCAGCTCCATCTTATTCTGATGGTCCATTAACCAGCTGCTTCCACTGTGTTGCAGCAAGCATGGTTCCTGGCATGTGATCATATTCACTGACTAAATAAATGAAACTTCGTTGGAAAGCCATTTATTGGATGTAACCCAAGGTGGGAATCTTGTAACTTCAGCTCTGAGCCAGAGACTTCTGTCAGGCCTCTACCCAATGGTGTATTTTCAACTGATTCCCTACTCTTAAGGGAGCAGACTCAGTGGGGAAGTTAGTTGATTAAGAAGGAAGGAGACTAAATATATGCTTTTGTTAAATGTGAATGGGTTTTTGCCTGTCTATATCTGTGTGTACCATATGTGGGCCTGGTGCCGTTGGAGGTCGGAAGAGTGTGTTGGCTCTCCTGAAACTGGAGTTACAGACAGTTGTGAACCGCTATAGGGGTGCTGGGAATCAAACCAATGTCCTCTGGAAGAGCAGCAAGTGCTCTTAACTGCTAATCTATATCTCTCTAACCCCTGAACCAAGTGTGTATATGTAAATATAT